CTGTGCTTCAGCGACTGGCCACGCACCCCGGAGATCCCCTCCTTGACCACGTTGGAGCCCTCGCTCCCTCCCAGGGTCCTGGTCCTGCCTCGGAGCTCTGTGGTGCAAGGACTGGATGGGAGAGGGCCCAGGGCAGGGCCCACTTCCTGCTGCGGGAGGCAGTGGCTGCTCTGGGCTTTCTTTGCTCGGCTGTCCCCCTCGAAGGGCTCTGAGGCCCCCTAGCAGGCGGGCCTCTCCTCAACGTGTCTGGATTCTGCCTCTTGCCAAAGCAGAGGGGTCTGCCATCCACTGCCTGCGCCCCTCCCACCTGCCCCTCGGCTGCATGCCCACCAGCCACGCCTGCCTGAGGACAAAGCCTTGTACTGTCTGCAACCCCTCGCCTGGCCCCTCATCTCCTCCCCTGGCCAGCCAGACAGCCTGAGGAAGGAAGGACCCGTTTCCTGTTGTTGGTGCTAATTCCTTTGTAGTTCCAGCCCCCCCATGGCCTGTCCTCCCCTTAAGACGCCCATGGAGAAGCCCCACTGGCTTCACAGACTGGGGAGGGGATGGAAGGCTGGCTGGGTGGTCACACTAAGCCTTCAAGGGGCTCCATACATGGGCCTATCCCTTATCTCCTCCATCAGAGGCCAAAGAGGGAGCAAGTTTCCACTGCTGCCTTTGATCCAGGCTGAAGGGAAGTAAAGGGTACCACCAGGGTACCCCCTCCCCCCTCCCACCACACACACCCATAACTGGTTTTGTGGGCGTGAAAGTGTGAGGCTGTGGCTGAGCCATGGAGGGCCAGGGAGAAAGTGAATTTGTGAGGGCTGGGGGATGTGTGTCTATGTGAGTGTGTGTGTTGTGTATGTGAGAGGGAGACAGGAACAGGGAGAGAGATGTGTGCAGGGGTGTGTTGGGATCTGGGTGTCTGCGCATTCCCTCCCAGGCCAGACCAGTGGCCCGGGAGCCAGCCATGCTCCCAGCTGGACTGGTCCAAGGTGCGGCGCCACGGCGGCCCCTGCTGGCCAGCTCCTTGCATGGCCGCCCTTCCGCTGCCAGGCAGCCCGCCAGCCGGTTCATCCGCCCTTCCCCTGGGCCACCCCCAGAGGGGCGTCTGAGACATCCTGGGAACATTGAGGAGGATGAGTTGTTACCTAGGACTTTAGTTTGTTTTGTTTTTAAGTTTTACCAGATCTCTTTTTGATTAAGCAATAAATTCATTATCCTCCTGGTAAGGGGTGCCCCCCTTCTGGCATGTCGGTGACTGGCTGTCCAGACCGAGCTAGAGAACAGGGAGAACGAGCTCCCCTACTGCCAGCCCGCCCTCGTAGCGCCTGGCTGTGCGCCACCACTCTGGACGACCGTATCTTTCTTGGAGGGGCCAGGGCCCTGAAAAAGCCCCCCCAACCCTCACCCCAATAGAAGGGTTCGCTGCCACAGAGTCAGCCCCACTCCTGGGGGCCTTACAGAGAATGCAGCACCGTCCCATCCAGACCCATCATGACAGCTGTGGCCAGTGTGTCGGTCCAGCTCATGGAAGGAGTCCCTTCTGTTCGCCAGTCCTCTGTTCAAACATCCTAAAAGTGTGGGTCCCCTGCCCCATGCTCCCCACCCCATGGTGGACTTACAGTGAACACCCCTTCCCATCCCTCCTCAGATTTCCTGTCCACACATCAGCAACTGTGGGGGTGGGGGGTTCTGGGGCGCTGCGGGCACAGAACAGCCGCTTGTGCCCAGATTCAAGGCCTGGAGTGACAGTTCAGCTTGCCAGCTGAGCTTCAGTCAGCTCAGCTATACCACAAAAACCAAAGATAGAGCCAGAGAGTCCCCAAACTTCCTCAGAACACGGGGTCCAGGAGAGGTTGGTGGTCGTGCTGACTTTTGTAGTGAATTATCTTTTTCAGTTGGGATTGAGTACATCATTCCACATTTCAATCACATCGACTAGGATTGCACAATTGCTACCACAATCAGTTTCCAAACAATCGTTTTCTACACAGACTC